AATTTTATTTTATTCATATTATATGTAGTTGCATTTAAAATCACAAGCCAATGCAGATTTTTTCCTAAAATTATTTTAACAAATCCACAATTTATAATATATAAAATAATCAATTTAAAAATCTTTTAACCTACATATGATAATCATCTAATTTTTCTTTAATATTTTATTTGTATTAATTAACTTGTTATATTATTAAATATTAATTTTAATTATATTATAAAATATTATAATTGACTAATTTTTCTGAGCTAGTTTGACAAACATTGTCTTAAAACCAAACCATAACTTTAACAAATAGCTAATAACTTTAAATTAGCACAAATATTTATTAAACATATCATAGATAGTTTAATAATTCATCAATCTATGCATTTTTGTCAGATTCAATCATATCTTGTTTCGGTCTAAATGTTGCGCCAAATATGAGACAATAACTTAAATACACACTTGCTTATTGTTAAATTCACACATATCAAGTATTTCACATACATCAACATCACATCAAAGCTTGCTTTTTACAGTATCAATTAGTGATTTAACTTGATTTTGTTTACCCTAAAAACAATGGGTAAAAAGTGAAGTGACAATGGTGGAGATAGCAATGATGAAAGAATTCCAAGTCTCACACACACACATTGTGGGCAAAGGCTGTCATTTTAACCACCATGTGGGTCTGCTTTATCATGCCTAAAGATCAAAAGTTCAGAACCCACACCACAGACAACAACAACATTTCAAAAAGGAAACCAAATATAATGTAGGAATCCCGTGATCAAGATTCATGAATCCAAGCACCTCAGAAACCACAACTAAGATCCCATTTGTAACCACCCAAAATCTAAAAGAAACAACTACCCAAAATCACTTCTAAATCAACCCGAAAATTGTAATGGGTCTTGAGAAACCATTCACAGTTGGATACGAGATGAGATGTTGAATAACGGATCTGTCTAAACACCTGCTTTCTAGGTCGGCATACACTCCAAACCATGCATGCGTTGGGTACGTATGAAAATACATGACATGACATGACATGACAAAACAAAAACTTATTGTCCAACGTTTGGTGCGAAAACTAGACTAAGACTGGACATGACCTAGTGAGACAAAAAATGCATGTATACTGTTTCACCAAATAGGTAGAACATAAAATTATGGAGATAGGACAACCTTAGTAAATTACTAAACTACCCATGTTGAATTAAACCCCTAAAACCTTCCACAATTCTTTTATCCGCCTGCTCACTCTCATCCCGTCCAGTCCTGTTCAGTCGTCCATATACCAAACGAACCCAGTAAAACCTGCATAGGGTAGGGTAGGATGTAGGCAGACCTTACCTCTACCTGAGTGAAGAGGTTGTTTGTGTGAAGACTCTGGCTTCTAGGTTGACATGTATGGTATCCAACTATATAAGCACATTGTACAAGCAGTTATCCTAAAAAACACACAAAGGTAACCCAAGAATACATGGATTTTCATCTATTTCTTTGAATTTGAACATCTTAGCATACGATAAAAGAGATCGATAGAAACCTATTGTTTTATTTTTCATGTTATGGTTAAATCTTATTATTTTGTACTGACCATTTCTAAATTACGACAATCAAGTGATGAATAGACTAAAAGTTGAAAATTCTAAAGTCTGGCTCGGGAATCCGTTTTACCAGGAATATGTAAAGCATCATAATGACCAAACCCGTGGTACAAGACTCGGATTGGATCTTCTTTGCTGTATTCATGACCATATTCGGCAATAGAAATGAGGCCACCGGAATCTTGATCATTCATGTAGACTGAAATTGGCATCCTGCATAAGAATATCCACCAGTAACTTATTTGGTTACACTCAAATATCATGTTTTTATCAACCTCAAGAGGATTTATACGTTCTATAAACCGATGAATAAATCAGCAGAAAATAAGAACGAAATGACTAAAAATCTAATCAGGCCATATACAATGATTATAGAAGTAGAACAAGATGAAATATTACATCGAAGGCATGAAAATTACTTCCACATTCCAACATGAGCCGCTCAGATTATTATTACCTCCAGAGAGGGGTTCCTTCTGACTCTTGTGATCAAAAATACCATATTTTTGCTTCAGATTCATAATAGTAACATTCAATTATAATGAATACTACACTCAACAAAAAGCAACATTACATGCAAAAACTCCATATGGACTTAATTTGAGAAACAATAGGTTCAACCATAGGGTGTTTAGGTATGCAGAAGGAACTGGACAGAGGAGACGAGGTAGACAGAAAGAATCATGGAGGTTTTTAGGGTTTTAATTTGGGAAGGTTAGTTAGGAATTTACATATCTTGTTCCATCTCCCTGATTTTTGTTCCACCTATTTTGGTGCATTTTTTGTCACACTCAGTCCTGTCATGTCTCAATCCAATGTCGTACGAACCGTGGGATAACAAGTTTTTGTTATGTCCTGTCCCATATACCAAATACACCCTAAAAGTCAACAGGGTGTTGGTCTTTTTGTTTTTCTTTCGATGGGGAAATAAGGAAGGATCAGTATTATCTTGAAGTTTTCCAAATGATAATGTCCAGCTAAGGATTCATCATGCATGTCTAAATGAATTCAGGTATAAATTGAAAACAAAAGAGATAGGGTTACTATTTTGACATGCATAAGCTAGAACCTAGGACCGTTATGGATGCCCCAAAGCAGGAACTACATTGCAAACAGAAACCAAGACAATTGACAAGATTCATTCACTTGCATCCTAGAGCTGTAACCCAAATCTTTCAAGGATATTATCACACTATAGTACTTCGATAAAATGGAGTTTCATATTTAGGTAGGCCACATTGGTTACCTTTTAAATTCATTTAAAGATTTTGAAATTTTCCAAATATTTCATAGAGGCAATAAAGCCTAGCTGACTCAGTTAAGCATAGTTGGTACTTCTTCACCGGTCATCAAGAAGTCATTTAGAGTTATACTGGATTTCTGAAGTGTAGTGTGTCTATAAACACACATTAAAAGCCAGACATGCAACGCAAGGGGAATATACTTCAATGCAGTTGTCCACCTTTATAAACAAGAACATCAATAGTTGAAACTGCTATATTATTAATACCTTAACTGTGTTGCTTACGAGAATGTCTGTGATTAGGGTCCTACTGTTGGCCAACAACATTCCCTAAAATGCTATTTCATTGTACCCATGATTTGAACATGAATATGGTTTACTATGGAGTGGCATTTCGTAATCGCACTTTTGATGGTTTTTAGTGCTTTGATTATGGAAATTGGTCAAGCTCGGGGACTACCTACCTAATACTCAATCACCACACATGCATGGCTTTCCCACCTCCTTATGTTCTCACATACCCTGGCTGCAATTATAGAAATTCGGGCATCATCTTGCTTGCCAAATTCCAAAGGACCATCTGATACGCAACCAGAATGTTTGTCATGGTGATGAGCGACTAGAAGAAGCTGATACTTGGGTTGTAAACTTCTCCTTCGACTTTCAATGTAGATACGGATTTTATTTGATGAGAACATATGATTTGGTTAGGTTTGTAGGAGTCGATTATCGAATAATGGTGTTAACTGAAGTATGATTTCCTTCAGAAATGTTTCTAGTTTAACCAACTATAAGTACTAAAAACTGCAAGTATTTAGCATAACTGCAAAGATGGAAATCAATGATTAGCATGCAACTTAACTCAAAATAAGCGGGTATTTTATCTTTTTGTGGTTTTTTGCATGTACTTCCTACACTACACATAGTAATTACAAAGTCAAGGGAGAGAGATTAAAAAAAATTCAGAGTTTAAAAGTGAACCCTTTCACATCAAATAAACCAAGTTTGTCTTTCCGTACTCTATTCTCTTGCAGTTTTAAAATCAACCAACTTGTCCTTTCACTAAAACTAAACATACCCAGTATATTCCACCCAAAGGTAGGGTCTGGGGAGAAGATGTACACAGATCTGACCTTTGAGACAGATAGGCTTGACTAGGTTCAAGTTGGTATTTTTATATTTATGGGGTACTTTCTTCTCTTTTCTATTTTTTTTCCTTTGCTTCCTATACAATTTGTTGACTAAAATTTAAATGCCATTTACACCAACTTATTGTAATTACAGCATAAGTTAATACTTGTATTAGTACAAGGGAATGCATCCAGAACTTTTTACTTCTAAAAGTTGGTATTTTTATTTTATTTTTTACAAACAAACCAACTCCTGTTCTTCACTCAATCAAACATCCAGCTTGTCAGGTACTAGGTTCAGAGTGGGTATTTTCATTCCACCATCACTTGTCAATCCTCAAAGTTTAACCATCAATTATTGTACCATGGACAATTACTGTTTCCTTGTCTTTTCTTGCTCTTCTTTTAGCAATATCAACCGTCTTATACGTTTGCTTCACTCCTTATGTTTCTTGAGAGAGAATTGATGTGACCATTACTTTCGCATGAACATATTACAATTTAAACCGAAAAAGAATATAAATCTCTTGTAAAGTCACCACATTGATTCGTACACAAAGGGTGTCTTTTGTGTGTGTGTTTGTGTGTGTGTGAGAGAGAGAGAGAGAGAGACTTACTTGAGAACATGAGAAGCCATGAGCAATTCAGGTTCACCTCCCCATACATGTGTCTTCCTTATTTGTGACACATAAGAATCAAAGTCACCTTCAATGAACCTGAATGAAGCGTATATGCAATTTATAAGTTTACTTTTACAGAAGTTCCTTAAAGATCACTCGTCTTTCATTTGAGCACAACCAGCATGAATACAGAACATTTGACAACAAAAAGAGGTAATGCAGAAGATATATTTGACTTCTGATAATTATACAATGCATATACCAATAATCATCTTCCATATCTCGTTGTTGATGTATTTATCTAGTGAACGGTCATTTTAATCACTTGTAAAACAAACATCCTTTTTCACTATGAGTATGCTACAAAAACCCTCAATATAAGAACTAGTTCACATTGTGCAAATACAAAATGAATGGAATGAGATACAGTTTGAATGGCACAACCCAATGACCAAGTCAAAATGTCACCTCCTCAAAATGTAAAGGCATGAGAAAATCATCAGCAATAGCAGAAAATTGTTGTGAATGAACAAAAAGATCATATGCGACTCACCATTCCGTCTCTTCCCGTCTTTTAACAAATTCATCGGCCACCTAGAAAAGTGCCAGATAAAAAAAATATATCAATATAAAGCAGGGAACAGATTTCTGAATCAATTTCATTAGATGATGTAATGGCATTCTACATTTTCCATTTTATGTGTATAGGAAACACTAGCAAAGATGAAAGAAGGTAAAATTCTAGGGCCTGATAGTATCCCTAGAGAAAAATAGTAGTATTTGCTAGCAACAACATGATGGCGACTAGAATCCACCATGGAAGCCATAGTACATAAGAAATGTATTATATATAGACCCTTTCACAAGCAATACAACGGAAGTATGGGAGTGAGTTACAGAGGACTGAGGTGTCTAACAATAACTTCGATTTATGTCAAGGAGATCAACAAAAAACCAAACAAACGCAACATGTCCCACAAGAAAGTAGAATTGTGGATGTAGGCATACCTGACCTCTACCCCGAAGAGTAGAGTGGTTGTTCCCGTCAAGGAGATTAACAACACGCTCTAATTTATAAATTAGACGACTCAATAAAAGATGCTCGAGACATAAAAATAATCTATATATGGTGTTCATTAATCAAAATAAGTTATATAAGAAGTGCCAACAGAATAACATGGCCCGCTAGTAAGAAGAAAACCCCCAGAAGATGTGGATGTAAAACATAAGGTTGCATCGCAATGAGTGTGAAAACATGTAACGGCAAGACAAATCTTATTGTTACGTTGCACTAAGGGTTCACCCTTCAGGTGTTACCTTTTCTTTTCAGTTATGGATGAGCTCACAAGAGACATACAATATGAGATCAGAAAATATGCATTCATCATCAATGATGTAAGGTGGGATATTTGGAGGAACATCTTAACACCAAAAAAAGGTTTTAACATGGGGTGTAAGAAGTTCAATTTAGCAGGATTGGTAGAGAAGTGAAAGATGTGACAAGTGCATTCAGGCATGAAATATTTAGGAAAATCGGAACTAGTTTCATAGAAGGATTGAGAGACTGATAAGGATATTAATCAATATATAAGGGTGCGGTCAGCAAAAAAAAACTAGTGACTGTTAAATTAGGCAGGTTGTGACAAAATAAAAATAATAAAACTAAAAAGAAACTAGTGACTGTTACATCTGGGCAAGTATGTTAACATAAAAATAAAAAATTATTATTATTATTGTTCAAAGAGAGGAAACAAAACATACTCTGGCACGTAATTCATCAGCTAGCTCCCTTTGCAGGCTCTCACTAGGAGCAGGCTTCCCTGATCGTAAACATGCTCCATGAGCAACAGCACGAAACAAACATCTCCCATCTCCAGGTATTCCTGTAAAGAAAAACATAAATCCTTCACCAATGAAATCACAGCTTATGTGTGCAATCTGACCTTCCCCTCCATCCAGGGAAAAAAATGGCCGAAGACTTTTTTTGTAGGTAACCGTGGGGGTTCGGTCAGCTGACTAATCCCATGGGGCCCTGAAGATAACAGCTAGGAAAAATCCCCAATGGCCCTAAAGAGACCCGAACGGGGGACCTATGAGAAGGAGCCCCAAGGCCTAACCTTTATCTGCCAGTTGAGCTGACCCTCAAGATTAATAGCCAGAGACTTGATGTGTTACAAAGGATACATTAGTAGATTCTCTACATTACAGTGGAACAAACTAGAAATACAAGATATTAGCTCACCTATAACGGAATAGTTGGTGTGAACTTGCTTCCCATGTGAAAAGTTGGTGATTGTAGAACTACAGTCATCTTCCTTGTTCTCTTTTGCTTCAGCATGTGCTGGCTCAGTATTTGAATTGCAAACGGTTAATCCCATTACAAGGCCAGCTGAGGCACATCCTTGCATCCAAGATCCGGGTACCAAATTCCATTTCATTCTAGAGATGATACCTTGTTTTTGTTTTGGGAACAAAAGCCTTAAGTTCATATTGCGGGACCCAAGCGAAAGATCTAAGCGTGTCTTTGGTGTCCCGCGCCTGGAATGCATAGCACTTTTGATGGTCAGTAACTGCCAGTTGCTCCTCTGGTTTGCAACGTCAGATGGCCCAATAAGAGATTGGCGGGTGTTCGGCTTTGGAACATAATTCGGTTTGACACATCCAAGGGAGAGATGAAAACAACATGCACTTGAAGGCATCACACTTTGCCGGGACCCACTTGGACGAACGGCGTATTTCACACAATTTCTAATGGGAGAACAAGCAATCATGCTGTCATCACTCCAGGTTCAAGCTCCGGAGATGACACTCAATCACTGTTAACAATAATAAATATATGGATTTACATCATTTAAAATAAAGTAAAAACAGCCTAAATCAAGAATATATGTTCCATTTAGATGCTCTTTTTCTCTCTTATCTCCATCTACAAATAATTTAAGCATTATGCTTATAATTTACATTCCCAACTATTATAAAGATTTACTGCATACACCATTCTAGCGAAAATTACAATAGTTTGGCAGGCATAAATCTCTAATCATGGGTTGATCCTGAAATAATTCATTTTGCTACTTTTTATGCAACAAAACTGAAACAACAATTTAACAAGTCACACATACAGCAAAGCACATGAACTCTAACCTCGAGGACTAGCTCAACTCGCAAATAAATGCCAGGCCCTTGGGGCTCCTCCCCCATAGCTCGCTAGTTCGAGTTTTATCAAGATTGCCCAGAATTTTCCTGGCTGTCATCTCCAAGGCCAATGGGATTAGTCGAGGTGCACCCAAGCTGGCCCAGCCATCCACAGGGTTAAAAAAAACACATGAGCCCTTCTCAAAATGTTGTTCAACAACTTTTTACTTTTTCCCAGCACTACGTCAATTTTAAACATATCCAAAAGGATAAATTTATAATGTTCATCAATTCAGATAGAACCAATAAAAGGGAATCGGAATAAAACAGCATTAAATACTAGCAGCGTTGATGGACACTGACGTGTCTATTCTAATTCATGGCACCTATCCAAATTAACACAAATCAATGGTGGTAGATTTTGCAGGCGATCAATGGGTTTAATCTATTAATCACAGGGTAAATAACCGAAGCCATATATTAAATCTTTTGGAGAAGGGGTATTTAAGATTTCAGCAATAACTGAAACTACGAGAACGATATCAGGAAGAAAAAAAAGCTTTTCATATGAAAAGGAAAGAACATCAACAGTAAAGGTGCATAAATTTGGAAAATCGAAAAGGAACAAACCTGTTGGTGTTTATTATTTACAGTATGAATAAGAATGAGGAAACCCTAATAAGGAATGGAATTGAAAAGGGAATGAAAGAAGGGTATAATATGGAACTGAAGGAAGGAATGGAATCAGAACCTGACAACATCTTCTCATCTTTCTGGAACTTTCTTTGAAGCTTCTTTTCTTTGAGCACCGCAGTTAAAGCTTCCCTTTCTCAAACTTCCATGGATGAAACCATGTTGTACCCATAATTTAGAGCGTAAATTACAAGTTTAGTCCATATGGTTTGTAAATTTTGTAAGTTTAGTCCTTACATTAAAAATTATAAAATCTTCCTCGTAGTTTCAGTAGTGCTATTGAAGCTGGAATTACCGCGGCTGCTAGCACCAGATTTTCCTTTCAATAAATCCTTGCTCGTTTGAGCCCAATTTTATTATAAATTTGGTCCTTACCATTAACGGTCATTAAAGAGGTTTTCGTTAAAGCAATGTTTGTCGAACTACTTGATAAGCTAGCTGATAACTGTAAGCTAACTGGTAGCTAATAAGTTAGTTGATGGTTGATAATCTAACTAATGAACAAATCATATTTAACAAAAATTAGTGATAAACACGTAAAATAACTAAAAAACATCTTAAAAAATTAGTCAATTGCAATATTTTATAATATAATTAAAATAAATATTTAGTAATATAATATATAAATACAAAAAATTAGTAAAGAGAAATTAAAATAATATAATAAGGGACTATTTACCTAAATGTTTACCCGATAAATGCTTACTGTTAGAAGTCAACACTATAATTTATTTTACTCGGTAAGGTTGTAGTACATCAAAACGTATTCCATGCAACAATTTTCCTGGTAAGTGCTTACCCGGGTAAGAGTCGTCATCCTCACTTACCGAGTAAGACTTTCCATCTTTATCCTCATTCTTATCGAGCAAGATTCTTGGCCCTTGTCATGTTCATCCGGTGAGAAAAATTACCCGGTAAATACTTACCGGGTAAGCGTTTAATAAACGGCTCCAAACTTGATCTGGACAAAAAGTTGATTATTGACCCCTCGACCCCAAATATAATATGTGATTATATCATAAACTTTGGATTTATCAAAACATAATTTAAAAGAAAAAAATCAACATTAGTTTATAATTTTTAATAATCATTACATATAATATGAATAAAAATAAAATAGTGTCAACCTCACATATCCTAATTAATCAGTAATTTTTCAAAAACTATAATTAATAATTAAATTAAATATTGTATTAAAATCATTTAACACGATTTTATTATCTCTGAAATAAAATAAGTTTAACTTTAATTTTTGTATCAGTTACATAAAAATTGTTAGAATTGTTACATTTGTTTCTGATAACTAAATATATTCAATAATAATTCAGAAAATAATAATATAGAAATAATTGATATGATTAATAATAATTCTAACAAATTAATATTAATGTATAATGTATAATTAAAATTAAAATTAATAATTTCCAACTAATATTGATTAATATTAATTAATTTTTATTAATATTAATAATAATTACTTTTTATTTATTTGTAAGTAATATTAATGAAGGTTATAAACGGAAAATGTGGCAAAAAGCTCATCATGGTCTACTTCAAGTAGTGTTCCAATAAGTTAGTTTATGTTAATCCAAACATATATACAAGCTAGCTTATGTTTGTCAAATAATGCCTAAAGTGAATCCATATAAGCATGTGAGGGTAATTTCATCTTTTCTGTTTTCTTATAGGGATGCAGTTTTCCCTATAGATTTTGTTAGCTTCTCTTCGACTAACTCGTTTCTTTTTTGAGTTTGAAACGACAATTAGGGATGAGCATAGGCGGGTACCTGCCCTATTTGACAGGAACCGGAACCGGCGGTTCTTGAGATATTGGAACCAGAACCGGTTAGAGCGGTTCTTGAATTTTTGGAACCGGGACTGGAACTGCCGGGAACCGGTTCTGGTTCCGGGTACCCGCTTCCTAAAAATATTAAAATTTTATTATTTAGAAATAAAAAATAAAACATTGCCAAAATACTAAATAAATAAACAAGAATACAAATTATATAGAATAATGGTTACAAATATTGTTTAACGATTACAAAGGCTAATAGTAAATGTTGAAAGTTTAACGTTTACATACTATAATTGTAAATGTTCAAAGTTTAACGATTATGAGTCGATGAAGACGGTCCGTGAGAGGCCTCAGGCCTGAGAGTATAATTCGATGAGGCGCAGATGCGGGACCAAAAATCTAATCTATAGTTCTAAGTTCTTGACCTAATTAAAATTTAGTATTAAAAAAAAGTAATTATTTTTTTAATTGAAAATATCGGGTACCCGCCGGTTTTGTATACCCGGTCCCGGGTACCCGACGAGTAACGGTTACGACAAATTGAGAACCAAAACCATTTTCAATCGGTTCCGTTTTTTGGAACCAGAACCACTAATATCGGTTCCGGTTCTGAAACCGACAGTTCCAAAGCAGTTCCGGTTATGCAAGTGAGTACCCGGTTCCGCTGCTCACTCCCTGAAGATTCAATTGAAGTTGGTAAAAGAAGTTTTAATTATTTGGAAATGAGTAAAATTTTGTTGGTTTAGAATGGAGTGAAGTTTTAAGCTTATATTGAAATTATGTTTTATCTCTATTTCATCTTTTAAATTATTGAAATCCGAGCCTACCCGAAATCTGAGCCGCAACAGTCTAAAACGCAAGATATTCAAAATCCCCAAATATTGTTAGTACGATAGTGAGTTTCGGGTTTTTGTATCATCACCTGAAATCCAACCGGATTTTAACTTCTTCCACCCGATCCAATTCGACACGACTTTTGCACACCCCTAGCTACAACAAAAAAATTATTCTAAGTATTGAATTAGATGTATTTGTATCATTATAAAATTAAATTGTTGGGACAAACACTTATCAATTGGTATTAATTACTTTTATAAAGTTCAAACGTCTTAATAAATTGTAAAATATTGTATGAATATGCAAGCGTGTAAATATAAATTGTGATTGAAAATTCTAAAACCGGGTTTTGAAACTAGGTTTTTCTGCTTGAGAGGGCATGGATTCCAATCCCCGTTTTTGCAACATATTCTGGCAGAGTAATCATACCTATACGTTGGTACCACGTAGACAATGGAGTGCATAGTTGCTTATGCAATAGTTAACCTTAATACCTCTTATGTAATTGTTAGTTTTAATTATATATCAATTCTCATTTTGACTTACTTCATTTAAACATAACTGCTATCGAAGTTTCGACCCGACCAACCTAACCCAACCAGCAAACATTAGATCAAGTTGTTTAAATGTCTTTAACCTGATCAAACCAACTTCATGCAACCCTACTTTCAAGACCTTGTTTTCGAAGGAGATATATTTGATTTTATTTATGGGATACGATTTTGGTATTAAATATGGATTTGATGTAACAACATTGGGGTTCCATGTCCTTGTATAACAAATAGGGATAAAAAATTGGAAAGGTGATTGGTCCATTTAAGCCCTAATTTGAAAATGAAGACAAGAGAGGCCCATTAGATTGGAAGTGGGCCAAAGCCTACCAATTGGCCTATTTCCAATCCCATGGCGTCCAATAGAGATGGCCAAATGGGCCCGGCCCGGCCCGGGACCGCCGGAGGACCGGGACCGGGACCGGGACCGACAAAGGACCGGCCCGGGACCGGGACCGGTAAGGACCGGTTATGGGACCGAAAACCGGGACCGGTTAAGGTTTTTGGTAGTTTCGTGGGACCGGGACCGACCGGGACCGAGACCGGTTATGGGACCGACTATGGACCGGCCCGGCCCGGCCCGAAAATTCAAATAATATTATAAATAAATGTATTTTTAAATAATATTATAAATAAATGTATTTTTAAATAATTTTATAATGTATTTTTATAAGAAAACGTAATTTTAATTATATTAAAACACATTTTTAAAGTGTATTTGAGTGACCCAATTGTAAATTTTATAATGTATTAA